CATTAAATTCCAGTGAAATATATTTATGTTTGTGGTTGTAATGTGACAAAATATGGAAAAGTTCAAGGGGTATGAATACTTTTGCAAACCACTGTATTTGCAACACATTTTTCTATTAAAAGCATGATATGGTAAGTAAGTTGTTAGCAAACAGCTRACGCTCAAAACTTGATAAAGTCATGTCTAGGTCAACTTTGAGTTTGTTTTTTCACCTGATGATGAAGCGAGGTCATTATGTTCTGACACTATTTGCACATTCTGAACAAAAAGGTGATGAGCTGTTTTTGTGTGTTTGAACTGCTACCTCCTGATGACCCTGCTCATGAAGCAGCTTGCCCAGGTTGTACAGGCAGCTGGTGACTGAACTCTTATGGGCGTGGGGATCCTTCAGGTTTTCATCTGGGATGTCGGCGCAGGTCAGAAATGTCCGCTTGGCCTCGTCCAGACGACCCTGGTTCATCTGGATGATGCCGGTGTTCAAGTAGGCCGCTAAAAATAAGACACCAGAATAAAAAAATGTACGTTAATTACGTTATTTATAACAAATGAAATTGAGTTTTTCTGTATTAAAAATACTTTTTCCAAATGCATCAAATTATTTACTACAATCAGTGTTCATTGCTTGCGATAAGTATTTGGCATCATCAGTTTTTTTTTTGTTTCAAAGACATACATGTGTTTTACTGCTCACTACAATCTGCATTTCTCACTGTGGCTGTAACGGTAATAAATGCTCTGTGTTACCATGGCAACACAACCTCTTCAGACAATTCTGGCTAGGAGTAAAGTCTCCCTCAAGTGAGAGATTTTTTTATTTAAAATTAATGCAGAAAGAATAAAAAATWGTTTTAACTCAAAAAATGTCCATAAATTAATGAATGTTATTGAACGACAGCAGAGATAATGAAAATGCTTATTTGTGAAACAAACAAAACAAATTCAAAAAATAATTGTTGACACCAATAAAAAATTATGTTTACACAGTCATCAGATCTCAATCCAATAGAGCACCTTTGGGTTGTGGTGGAACGGGAGATTCTCATCATAAATGCAGCTGACAACTGTGACTGTGGTCAGACACCACGCTACGTTTCTGAACTTTTACATTTTTACATTCCTGTCAGGGCTCTGAGGTCTTGTGATAAACACATGCTGATTGATCCTCCAACTAAATTAAAGACTAAAGGAGACAGAGCTTTTTCGTCTGTGGCTCCAAG